CTTCTCCACTAGTAGTAAAGTGTCACAACGCGAAGCGAATACTTCTCTTGGAGGCCCATAGACGTGTCGAAATGCCATAGTTCCTTGAGGAAGCAGTAGCTGTCAATGTGACTCGACGCAACGTGCGATTCTTGTCTTGGCGGCAAGCTTCTCCTTGAGCATCAGATAATCGGAACGGTCCTCCAATGCTGGTAGTGGAAGGTTGGAGTGTCATGCAGTTCAGACAGCAGATGCAGCCCACCTATGTGCGGCACGCTCCTCCGTGGTTTCGTCCTGTGAGTGCTCTCGTCAGGCTTTGTCAGGACCCTAGTGGCCGCTGAAAACAAGCCACAGTCTAAGGCGCAGAGTTACCTTGTTGCCCTCTGCCAATAGAAGGATCAGAAAGTGTATCAGAGGTAACTTCCTGATGCCGAAGGATGGCAACTCGAAGATAATAACATGACTATCAAGATTTGTTTAAGCATTCATTGGTTGCTGTTCCATGCATATACAGAGCTCAACACTGTTTTGCTGGAAGTGCAAGCAGCATAGGCAAGAACGGCACCCAAGCCGCGGGTGTGCTAGCACTTAGAAATGTATTTTTTCAGGGACCACTAGATCACGCGAGTAAGTACTTGTGCAGCTAAACCCGACCAATATATGTTCTGTGCCTGCCACTACATCCATTCAAATTAGTCCTCTTGACTGTTAGTTCAGGTTAAACTGGACGTGGATTGTGGCCAATGCAAATGAAGTCACCTGCCAAAAGGAGATATGTGCCACAAAGCCTCCGAAGATCACCACACTGTGCGAGCGCTCCACCGGAGAAGTTATGAAGATTTTCTGAACCCCGCTGCAGCTGCCACGTCTGGCCACTTCAGTCCGAACAAGTGAAACAGCGTTTAAAGGGGTGAGTTGACATCGCTACATTTCATGGTATTATAGATGCAAAAGAGGTCACGGTTGACCAGAGGCATCAAGATATTCCCCCTTGGCGTTGTCACGGATGTGGTCTGATCATGCGCCACGTTAGTCGTGCTCGAGTGACATCTTCACAGAGAGAACTCACAAGCACAGATAGCAGAACTATTGACACAAGCACGAGGAATAGGACGCATCTTGCTCTGGTTTTTGGCAACGGCATATCTATTGACAACTGGTGAGCACTCCCTTTGTCTCAAAGTCAGCATGCTCTTGCCTTAGTGTACAGTGCAGCGTGTTCCAAAATGTAGGATAAAGCCTTCTTTTTTAATAATCTGAGCAGGCGCAGCTGTCAGCGTTCAAAGACACTCTCCATCAGCCAGACTGCACTCACATCTGAGAGATTTAAAGGGGTATGTCATCTGGGATCCTGGATGCCCTGCTCCTGCCATTTATATTACAGGCAGCGTCACTGATCAGATCTCGTATAGGTGCACTACTACCTCCACGAAGTAAGACTGGTTTGTGCTAATGCGGACGAAGATGTCAGACTGAAGCTCCCGGCGTACTCTTTCACCTTTGAATAATCTTGCAATTTTGAATAACAGATCGCCTGCTATCTGTGCCGAGTGCCAGAGCACTGTGACTCCGTGCACATGGTGCCACTCTTCGACATCGGCACGTCAATTGGAGGATGATCCAATGACGCAAACATGTGGCTGAACTGATTAATACGACCACTTCCGAGGACTTTCCATGGCTGGTCCAGGATCGGACAGCAGCAGGCGACCCTGATGGGTCATGACTAGTGAAGCAACTGCGCTGTTGCATGCCACACACCTGATTGTGAGAGTTTGCGTCTCATGATGTGAGTGAGAAGAGCCGTGCTCTCAGCTGCTGTAACGAAGATTGTCCAGTGTGGCCAATTCAAGCCCATGTCCCTACTATGTCAAGTTGATGAGGGCCACCCATGTGCCTTCAAATCTCCACCTAAGCCGGGATCGGACGGTACTTGCCTACTGGTCGCCACTAATGTTTCCAGAAGAATGCGGCGCCCAGCATAAGCTGGTGCAAAACTATCTTGGCAATATGCTTACTGTAGCCAAGAATTTATGGGCTCATAGAAATTGTTGTACTCATCCGGCGCACTTCTGGAATCTACTGCGCCGCGGCATCCTGCTGCGGAGGGCTTCCAGCGCTGACCGTGGTAAAGCACACACCTTTGAGTAAAATGGAACATAAGCAGCAGAAACAATCCTTTTATTGTACAGCGTTGGCAGCCATAATACCGCTTCCGCTTTCTTTCACCCTTAGCTGGCTTCGGTATGCAAGTGCTTTAACTCGTTTGTCCAAGTTTCTCCACGTCTGACTTTGGGACTGCAGCGCATGCTTCAAAAAACTGCAGTATCGCTCCATATAGAACGACCAGGTGATGCACAACGACCCGCAGTTTTGTATATCATCTGGTATGTGCAAAAGCCCATGTACAGGCAGCAAGCAAAAGGCAAGTCTCGAGTTGTCATGCTGATAGTAATATCTGATGAAGTCTCATCAGTTCTGCATGTACTGGATACTGTAAGTAGCCTCTTACTCTTTATATTTGGTGACCCAGTTCTGGCACTGCTGTTCTAAGTCGTTGATTTCAGCTGCTGTCAGTTCGAACTGCAAGGTAATCTTCATAATCTTGACCAAGTCAAGAAAATGCTTATAGTACTTTTCATCCGAGAAGTGACTCTGCAGGAGGTGAGGTGCAATATACATAAACCAGAATACATATGGCTCGGCAGTAAATGTCGAGCAATCATGCACAATGTTACCGAGTGAGCAGATAAAGCTAGCCAGTATGTCCTTCACTGTGTCAGCTGTTTCTCTTCCAATCTCCTTCCAGGTCACGTGATCAATCTTGTAATCTTCTGCACCAGAGTCCATCTCCTTGAAGCGTCCTTGCCAGATGTCAAGAAAGTTGGGAATGATGTTCTCTGAAAAGAGATGAAGCCACTCCCAAAGGCAGGACCATGACCAATCGAGAGAGTTGACTCAGCGAAGCGCAGGCAAGCTTTTGATCCCATAGTACTGTTTGAGCTTATGCTGATGCTTCTTTGTTTGTGCGCCTTCAATCTTTGCAATGGCGTCATAAAAGCTGTTGTGAGTCCGCAATGGCAAATGCGTTGTGTCCCAGACTTTGCTGATGCCGTTCTCATATGGAGGGCATGTGACAGGAAGTTAGTAGACACAGTTTGATCCTGAAGACATGCGAACACCATGCATGGTACACGACCTGCAGGGACAAAGGCTAGAGTGTCCCTTGAAATTGAGAAATTTCTCAATCGCAACAATGTCACCCTCTTCCGTAAGCTGGTAAGCATGTAAACCGAATCTCCCGTGTTCGACCGAATCAAAGCAGGGAACACCCGCGGCAAGGACAGCACATTTGTCGTCTAGTGGTGTGAGAAATAATGAGAGATCTTTCGGCTGCTTGGAACCAGGAACAACTCCAAGACAGATCAAATTCTCGAGGTGTGTACAAATGGTCGGAGGGAGATTGTAGTTCTTCACAAGTAGTGGAGTTGCAGATGGACCTTCTCATTTGCGATTGAACAGCAGAAAGCCATTGGTACAGAGTCCGAATGCAATGTCACGAGCATCCAAAAAGAAGGTGTGGCCCAAATTCCTGCCATCGACAGCTACCTCAGTGGTGAGCATTTCATGGTATTGCATGGAGCTGAATACGTCCTGAATGGTGCCAGGCTTGTGAGCAAACTGGGTGTGGTATTTGAGCAGCTCTTGCATCTTTTGGCTCTGGTAGAATGCAACCAATTGTGAAATGAGTGGGATGTATGTGAAGATACACCATGTATGTTTGTCTGGAGCGAGGCGCACTTCTTTGCAAAAGGGGCAATGAGTCAAGCTGGCGTAGGAACGTGTATAGCAGATGCATGAATTAACACAGCAATGCAATGTTTGAATCTCAAGACGAGCAAGCTGTGCAACTCGCTTTGTTGGACATATATTGAGTCAAGTTGTATTCTGTGGTAGAATTTCTTGCAAAATGCATTATAGTCTTTGCGTGACATGTTAATTGTCAATCGCAGGTCAAATGCCTGTATATTGTCCCGATCTCTATCAGTTGGAACATCATTGCCTAGAGTGATGGAGGTAGTACTGTGAGTACTGTGGCTAGCTTTTTAGCATGTAATTGAACAGACATATGAAGATCGTAGAAGTTGCATTCTTGTTCAAGCTCAACACCAATATCTAGCTCTTTCGCTGCCTCTTCCAGGTCCTGCAATATGAATTTGTACTCCTCATCTTCCCAAAACTCAAGTGCACGGTCTTCCTCTGGGTCCTTGCAGTTGTGAGGTGTGCAACGGGATAAATTGAACACAGAGCTAGATGAAGAAGAAGAGCTGTCATTAATATTGCTATTGCTGTCGTCGTCTATATAGATATTGACTGGTTCATCCACAGACATCAAACTCGCATCTGACAGCTGTTTGGAATCTTCCTCATTGCTGGACTGCAGGTACCAGCTGCCATGAGCTTTGCCCAACTGTTCAGACAAATTGTTACTCACGGTGTTTGCAATCTCATTGCTGATGCCAAGCTCATGGTCAGAGCTTGTGTCAGCAAGTGATGGTTGTATTGAATCCTCTCTACCCTCCTGTCGTGCAGTCTGATAGTGTCTTTGCCATTGACGCCATCCCAGAAGCTTCCCGCACTCAGATGTGCAACGGCAGCGCTTCAGCTTTTCCTGTTGCTTTCGATGTCGAGTTTTCAGCATGAAAGCTGAACAAAGATCTCGTATAACAATTGGGAGGAGTCAGTGAGTAAGGTGTTGCGTGAGCAGCAGTGAGTGGTGCAAACCAAAAAGAAGAGCAACTTCTGTAACTGACAAGATCAGCCAAGCAAGAAGCCTATAGGCTTGTAGACGATCAAGACAGACAACAAGCCAATGCATACCCACAAAACACCTTGGATTCGAAGGTTGTAGTAGTATACACAAGACGATGCAGAGACGCAGAGACACAGTAATGCAGATACCAATATTTGAACGTGAAATCTTAGTGTACGAAAGGGGGGATTGTTCCTGAGCATATTATCTATGCTGCAGCAATCCTTGTCTCCTCTCTCGACTTCTGCAGGATGTCATTCACAGTCACATTTGTCACGTAGATCTGCGCCATCTCTGGCAGTGTCAGCGTGATGGACACGAAATTGAAGCCAGAGACGGTGAACATCGTGGTGGCGCTAAAGTTGTTCACCCAATGGTACTGCAGAAACAAAAAACAAGAACAAATTCAACGTTCAGGTTCCTGACAAGAAAGAACCAAGGGCAGGGGCGTACCTGGAGGATTTCTACAGTCTCCGCCAGGCCCACACCGCCAATCTGGTTGATGAGCAGCCCCCAGTGCTCGACAAGCCGCGCAGTCTCGCACCTCTGGACAGTGAGCTCGCCCTTGGCAGGTATGTGCTCAACAATCGTGGCAATGACCGTATTGCAGACCTTGCGCAGGTCGACATTGCTCACCATGCGGAGCATCTTAAGCTCGACCGCGGCGTTCTCAATGCCGTGCCTCTCTGTGAATGCGCAGTCAAGTGACTGTGTTACCTCTGCCTAGAACTTGCTCTCTGCTGCAGCCGTCGGGAGCGCGGTGATGCTCGACTGCATTGCCACAGCAGCGTTCAAGATGGAGGAGAAAGACGAGGTGCGTGAGAGTAGTGCGAAGGAGACGTTGCTCTCCTTGCCTTTGTCCTCTGAAAAGTCTGATTTGTTGGCCTCCACTTGGGCAAGTAGATCTGCTGCAGTGTCTCCTAAGAACAATTAACCTGTTTAGTGGCGTCACTTGTCACTGAACATGGTGGAAACATACCAATTTGTATCAGCTGTTGATTGTTGAAATGCTCAACCTACAACGAAGTGCTCTCAGACCTGAGTACTCACCAATGATTACAGCAGCTCAACGACCGTAGAGTTCTCCTTCATGGTATCAATCTTGATACGGCTCAAGACATCTTCCCACTTGTCCACAGAAGTGTTCTGCACAGCACCCCAGTTCCAGTCTGGTCTCTTGCTCTCTGTTGGAGAATGTCTAGGCCATGCTGATGGACGGAACACTGAAGTGTGCAAGGACATAACATAGGTGGTGGTGTCAGGAAACAAGAATGACAAGAGTGCGCCAGGCTCACCTTGCCGCACTCACTTTAACATCAGTCACATGTGTGACATGTGTTACAGGATAGTAACAGCTCAGGCAACTTCATGCTTCAAAATCACCTTCTGTGCAGTGCACGTTGAGCTATAATGGCCAGAAATTCTGCTTCCAAAAAAAATTATCACTCCCAGGCTGCAAGATCTTCCAAGAAGCATTTGCTGCTGCGACCCCAAGACACAACGCCAAAGCCTTTTAGTGCTCGAGCCTGCTACCAACAGATCCCATTTGAAAAAAAGATTGCAAAACCACGAGGAGAGCCTGGCCGTGCACCGCCTCGTGGATATAATACCCAAGAGGTCATAGGTTTAGGCAATAAAGGTACAAAATGGAACGGAATAGTTGTGAGTCTGCATCATGAGAGCACGGCTATATGTGCTGACTCTTGTTCACCTTTGCAGCAAAAGACACATCTGTATGCAACCAAATATCTCCACACAGGCCATCCACTGTCTGCCCAAGATGATGCAGCAGTAGTCACCGTCTGTTTCAAGGCATTTTACCTAATTGTCATATGTTATCCTATATCTCATTGAAATAACAGGTGGCCAATACCTATTTGTTTCTTGCAGACTATCAGAACATCTGGCCTGTTTGCAATATTCTGTACAAGTATCTACAAAATAAAATGTCATCTGAGAAGAGGGCAAGCCGCAAAGAAGCAGTCAAAGAAAGTGATGAGTACAATGACCGTGCCGAAGAAGAAGATATAGAAGAGGATTACTTTGACATGTCTGAACGAGAGGATGAGGAAGAACAGGGAGAGGAAGAAGAGAATGAGGAAGAAGAGGATGAGGAAGAAGAGGGAGAGGAAGAAGAGGGTGAGGAAGAAGAGGGTGAGGAAGAAGAGGGAGAGGAAGAAGAGGGTGAGGAAGAAGAGGGCGAGGAAGAAGAGGGTGAGGAAGAAGAGGACGAGGAAGAAGAGGGTGAGGAACAAGAAGTCAAGGGAGAAGGAGACGAGGAAGGAGAGAACGAGGAAGGAGAGGATGAGAAAGAGACGAGGCCTGTTGCTTCTGCTAATAAGGGGAAGCACCGGCTCCTCGAGCTGGTAAGTCCGAGTAATTGGCAACTTCAGTACCAAAGGCTGAATATATGCACCTTCAAGTACCCTGCACAGTAGCCCTCAAGTGGTAAAGTCAAGAAAGACCACTACAGTTAAAGTAAAGCATCTTTCAAACCTCCCAAGGCAGCCAATCATGCTTCTTTTTGGGACCGTGCTCTTGCTGAACTCTCTGATTCGTCTGAAGACACACTCTTGCGCCACGAAAATTCTCGTAAAGAGCAGGTATATTTATTCTTTTGCTATCATCCAATGCATATACACTCTACTAAATGGCTGTAGGCTGTAAGGGGTCACGTACAGCCTGGACAACAGGCCACGGAAGGTCACACACAGCCCAGACAACACATCGTGCCACAGCTTGCTACTCATTCTAGTTCTCGTCACTTGTCTTCTGAGCTCTTGAGTCTTGCCGATGGTTCTTCTGTGGGTGCTAAAGTATTTTGTCACCGCCACTCACCACTGCCTTCCTGGCCACCGAGTCCTGAACTGCCATCTGCATCAGGTCACACTCGGCTACTTGCTAACTCTGAAGGTACCAGACCTCCGTCCGCAGCCTCTGCTAACTGTGATGGCCCTGACAACAACTGCAATAATGATCTTGGCCACGGTGTTAACGACAGTTTCAATGACAGTTCTGGCAACAGCTCTGGTGACAATTCTGGTGAACATGCCGTGTACGCAATGTTTGCAGAGCGCAAAATGGCAGCAAAACATCCGAACAAGTGTCCTGTCCGCTCATGCAATGACCTCATTCCGACAACCGTTGCCGAACGACTCCAGTACCTGCTCACAGAAAAGAAGAAGAAGAAACCCAAGACAACCCCTTAACATGAGTGGGATTGCCGTCTCGAGTCCATCAATCAAGAGATCTGCACCCAAATCTCATCAGACGCTGTTTGCAAGGAGGAACGGCAAGCTGGATATTCTAGCCTCATAGATTATAATAGCCTGGCGATCCGTACTCTGCGCCTCAAACCTCTTCTTGATAGCCTTATCGAGAAGGGAGCTCTTGCACCCACTGCAAGTGAGCTAATTGGTATTGCTGACAGTGCTAGCGCAGGTTGTGGACCAGGAGAACGACTGTTCTTCACACTCAACATGCTTAACAACGAGACCTGAGGCACTGGCTTTTATTTGCAGTACACTTGCATCAAGCATATCATTTCGCCAGGATAGTACGTCTGCATCATTGCTCGAATGGTTGATGTCATGGAGAAGACTAATAACTCTTGCTGCTTATCAGTTTCGGATCCAAAGGCTGCTTAATCGTTTCACTTGCGCTTACGCTACTGTACCCGAATGATGCACCTATGTGGAGCGGAATCTGAGAGACCATCAAACCTTTTACTCTGCCTGCCTTTTGAAACATTGTACTTGTTCAAGAGACGCTACGGAGCTTGCTCTGCCAGGATCTTGCTGGCGTGGCGAGCAGCAATTCTCAAGCAATTCTCACCAAGAGCACAAAATACAGGGATATTTGCTTTGACCGCAACGACAATAACGTGTTCGTTCAGGTCTCAAATTGCTACCTTCGGTTCATCAACAGTGACAAATCGCCCGATAGGGTATGTGTTTTGTGCTAATATGACAATGACACTTGTACCTTAATGTGGCAAAGAGCAGCAGTTTGCCCTCGCTTTCCCCTCAAACGAAGAAGAGCCTAAAACTGTCCAAAGAAAGCCAAGGCTCATCAAGCGCAAAACGGAGCAGATTTCTGAGGCCGACTTTGCTCCGGTACATTGCTCAACTTGAATTCTCAAATTATCCACAGCTAATGCTAACGCTATGTTAGCCAACACTACCCAAGCAGCGCAGGGTATGTTCAACAAATAAGGAAAGGCCTCAAAATCAGGTCCATAGACCTTTCACGTACAATCAAGCTTCTTTGTGTGGTCTGACATCCAGGTGATTGGTCAGGAAGATAATCATTGTCGTTTCAGCCACAACAAAGGTACGCTCCATTTTCTAGCATCTCCTTGAATCGTCTAACTTTACTGAAGCTACAACATCAATTTAACGGCGTTGCCTCATATCACTGCATAGTCCTCTACGCCTAATACTCACCTGCAGAACTTTTCCTGCTTTCATCGGCTCGCCAATTCTTGTGCCCTGTTTTGCTAGGCTCGACATCACTGGACTCTATCTCACTCTGGCAGATTCCACCAGCATGATCAGCATTTTTCACATGCTCTGGAAGTCTCGCTCTTGCTTCCACTATACTCTAACTGCCTGTGTCGCTCTCGCTCTCACTCATCTTGGTCTGTCTATGCTTGCACGTTGCCACGGCTCACCTGCTTTTCTATTCCTTCCTTCGAGTGTGATATGTACATACCACCTTTAGTTACTTCTATCTCACTGTCTGTTGTGCTGTTATCTCTGGTCAACGGTGGGCAGCCACCACTGAAATTTAAGCTCAGACCTTCTCTTCCCTCTAATAATTGATTCTCCGCATTTGATCTGGCCTGCCAATTGAGATTCCGATGATGGCATGCTGAAATCAAGAAACTCCGCCATGAACATTGCTTGCGATGTCGGCCCCTTTACTCAACCACCAACAGTCACCTAGCAGCAACTCTTCAAATGCATAGTAGCATTTCTCTCAACCCCTCTGCATCTAGAGTATCACTGGTCGGGATCAGCTGATGGTGCACGGAAGATAACCCAAATACCTGGCAAGTAAAGTTATGCTACAGAAAGTGCATAGAACCTGACTATATGCACCCTATTCCTTCCCATTTCGCTGCTCTTGACAGCTTTACACTTGCTAAAGAACTCTAGCATGCAGAATACTGAGTTATACTGGCGGAGAAGCAGGCCAGCACGGGATCTGAGGCATGAAGTGCTCTCAGCCTGATATGTCACTGACAAGGACAAGATGAGCACCAAAGAACCCAATACCATACAGACAGCTAACTTAGACGATAGACAATCACTCTCTCCTTCCTCTGTCATCTCTGAAGCCAGTACCCCTTCATGACAGTCTGGACAGCCACTTGAGCAGTGTCAACAATGCCTGTTCTTCCTACACCGATTTCTCCATCCTCCCAGCTGCTTTCTCGGAGCAATTCGATGCTAAACTTGAGGTATGTGAGATCTAGAAAATTTTCTCACCCAAGCTTATTGTACGTTCTGGCTTTCCGCCAATTAGCGAGGGGTTTCTTGGCTATATGCAGATTGGGCTTTACCTTTGGCAGATTCTTAGCTATTCAAAGAACTGAAGACGCTGCTCAAGACTGTGATCGAGTCTTACATCAAGGAATACAGTGCTGTCGTGCCAGATTCTGCGGAAACTGTTCATTTTCCCAAGGTGAGTCATTGTATTTCAAGAAATTCAAAGCATGACACTGGCATTTTCTCGTAGATCTATATTCTCTGCACGAGGAAGACGTTATCTACCTCACCGGTGACATGCTTGTAAACTGGCAGCGGCTATGACAGCGCTGATGTCGTCAGTGGTGCAGCGTTTGATGTTGATGCTGCAAGGTCAGGCAAGGTAGTGGTATTGACAGGTGCAGCATTGCCGTTGTCAGAGAAGAACAGGCCCATGAGCGCAAGTTTGACTGGTAGCGCCGTGCACCGGTCGGCGTGCGCACACAGTGCAGTGAGTGCCAGTTGTTAATTTTTCTTCTGCATCTGTGCAGAAGGCGCCGCAGGCTGGCCGTCGGTGGTATTTGCGTCCATGCCTTCAGTGGCGGAGGTGGTGTGTGCGGATGCGCTCCAGTCAGAATAACACAGCCCAGGACGCGGCTTGCTGAGGTGCTACTGGACATGAATGCGCTTGCACACCCAGGTGTCATTGATGCGGCGCACGAGGTCAGGGAGCGTGAGCGTGGCTGGGTAGAGGTGGTTGTGATCATAGTCGAGCTGCAGAACACACACAGAAGAGGGTCAGCACACGCTGAGTGAGCGGTGGAGGGAACGCACAATGAGCATGATCACAAGCGCATTGCAGATGGGTGGCAGGTCATCTGCTCTGTAGCACACCTCATCATTCTTGAGTGCGAGCTGCGCCTACATCCTGTCCATGAGCCGCATCCTGTATGTCTTGCGGAAGCACGCGATCGTCGTAACCTTGTCACTGTACATGCTCTGCAATAGCTCCCTATACTACCATGACATCTAGGATGGCGCGCTTGCAGAGAACATGCGCCGTTGTCATCGAGGAGACCATCCAGCGTCATTTGCAGGCTCAAGCACTTGGGCATCATTGGTAGCACATGCAGTTCTGAGCGTAGACCATGGGCCAGCTCTTCAAGGTGCTGCATCACCTATCTGTGGCTACTGCATCCAGGCAACCTCGAGCCCTTTGCAGGCTGAAGATGCTCAATGTTGTTGTTTGGCATGGCCGTTGCCATGCGGAAGACTAGTTGACTTGGTGAGCCTTTGATCTATCGTCCATAATCACCTAATCAATTTGTTGTGCAGCATATACATGACGGTGCACAAGTGGTATCAGGCTCTGATATGTCAAAGATGTATGGTATCTATGCTAATTGATTTGTGCGGCAGCTCTCACCGCCGCGGAATCTCCATTATGAGGTAGTGGAACATGCTAGTAAGAATCGGTGGGACACACTGGTAAGAATCAGTGGGACACCCCAGTAAGAATCAGTGGGACACAGGTAGGGACTGGTGGGACGTACCAATAGGAATCAGTGGGACTCCTTGGGAGATACATGAACCGTCAATGTAAATTATCAATATGTTCCAGTGGGTAACGCACTGGAAATCAGTGGGACATCCGTGGGACCCTCGAGATCTCAATGGGCACAGCCACCAGTTACTCATGGGCAATTCCACTGAAAATTAGTGGACGTTGATGATGCCAGTGGAATACCCACTTACCAAATCAACGAATAACCCACTGAAACACGAGTGGGAAAATGTCATACCTAGTGGGAGTTCCAGGGAGAAAAATCAATGAGTTTTCCCTTTCTCAGACATGGTATCCACATTAATTTACGCATGGTATTTCCCACTTATGATAATTGGATTCACTTCCCGCAGTGAGTAAACAGGTTGCAGCAGGCGAGAGAGTCGAACGCTGGGCCAGAGAATCAGGGAGAGAAGAACGGACCAGCAGTAACGCGACAGCAAAGATACGCGTGATGTCACATATTGTCATCGTCACTGTCACTCCTTGTCATGTCTGCTGGGTCTGGACTCTGCTCACCCGCCATGACCTCGTCTATCCACAGACTCGTCCATTGCGAGTCCCCAATGCAGAGAAGGGAAAGCAGAGCGCAACTTTCTTTGGTACGCTGGTCCTCTTCATTGGTCAGCTCGCATTGTGATCACACCGTAGACGTGCTGTTACACAACGTTCCGCAAACTTGGCGGGGATGGCCGACCTGGCAAGTGCGCATGTGCGCTTTTCCTAGGGCGATCAACGTTCAAAAACGCCGCTAGCCTTCAAGCCCGAAGGCTCCAAGGGTCAATGCAGCCAAATCGGGGGAAAGATTGATGAATTCATGACTCTCATCAGTAGCAGCGCTCGAGGACAATGCTGAGAAACACTGGCCTGTTACGCCTTTCACCTGCCCAGATCACTGCAGACTCGTCGACTACACGCTCTACGCAGCTCTATAATGCTGGTCGAGCTGTTCTAACCTATGCCATTCACGACGACCGGGATCAAACTCTTGAAGCAAAGAGCAGCCAATTGAAAATTCACTAGCTCTACAACCTGTCCACCAAGGTTTGCAAGAGTAGCGAGTGGAGGGAAGACAAGCGGAGGAAAGGCTGGATGGTGGGTGACCTGCTGATGTCCAATGCTCCTGCATCTCTGACGTATGCAGAATGAAGCCGCTCATTGAACTGTACGGTCTGCCCCCAGCCCAAGCCGTACATACTCAGTTTGAGTAACCCTCGGGGTTGTCGCAAAAATGAGCCCAACACGTACTCCAACTTCTGCTTCACGTGGGCGCAGCCTAACAATCTGCGCACTTCGTTGGTTGTCCAGCGCGAGGTCCAGTAAGGAACAATGGCTCTGGGACACGATCGTGGAAGAGAAGGTTAAGAAATCGAGGAGAGTCCAAGAGCTGAATGAAGGTCGCGCTTTGGAGGTCGTCATCCCGCTGCTAGGCGGCGTAGGCCGCAGCCAGTCAGAATTGACGTCTTAACTGTACGTTTCTACCTGTGCGCTCTGATTGATTTGCTGACGGACAACCAGGTGACAAGGGAAACTCGACTACGAGTGGGCTGCGCTCATCGAGAACAAAGACTGCTGTCAAGGACAAAGACGAGCGGCGGCAGATCTGGATATACAAGCCGTGTTGTGAGACAGAATCGCCTTACGCATCGCGCGGTCATATCCTAGTCCAAAATATATGCAGCGTCAGCCCGAACAAGCCATGGAGAATGGCCCGCTCCTAGAGCTGTGCGTAGGGAGTAAGTCAAAGATAGCAGCCATGCTTGATTGCGCCTCCCAGAATCATGCTCATCGTCATACACCCACAGCAACTTTTCAAACCGCGGGCGAGAGTCGTCATTATCTCGGCCTAGATAAAAGGGTGCAGTGCCAGCTGCCGTGCAGTGTCTGCAATCGCCCATGTTCAAGCTTCAAGTTCCGGTCTTCGAGGTCCACAAACGACTTCAGGCAAGGGAACGTCCAGATCCCGTGCTTCTAGCACACGCCCCACCGGTGCTCCTGCACCATACTCAGGATCTTGATGGCACAGATGAAGGAGAGATGCCTCCGCGCATGGTGCATGCCTACAGCGACTTCTGTCACTGTTTGGGGATCGTTCGCAAAGTACGTGTCTGTGAAATAGCCATCCAAGCTATGCTTGAGCCTGGGCAATGATGTCAGGTTGAAAGCTAGCGAGAAACAAAGGGGCGCACCCGCCAAGTATCCGCGTGTGCAAGCTCAAGTCGACGAGAATGCACCGTTATAACGTTCCCAAAGCATCTCGCCGATGGCGGACCTCGTAAATTATGGTCGTTAGTATTTTGCCCGCTGTAACGAACACCTATACTCGACACATTGCCGTGTGAGGTATCACATGGTTTATAGTGCCTGTATTGTGTCAGATACACATACTGTACACAGTCATAGTGCTACAAATAGGTCAATTATTCCGAAATTATGGTAGCAGAGCACTCCTTGGTCAGTGGCGGTGGAGCGCGACAAAACGTTTCCCAAATCTGTCGCAAAAAGTCTTATGCTCCTACATGCACCTGCCGACATAAACCACCCACGTCGGCTCATACACCCTTCTCACCACCCTCCCTGCCTCCATCCGCACCTTCAAGTTCCAGTGCATGTACACCAGTGTCTCCTGCTTCGGTATGACGTGCGCGTGGCCCATAATGTTTGCGTACACCTCTGTCTCACAGGCCATCCATGGTCCGCTGCGCGTGGTAGCACATCGACGGTAGCTCGAACACAAACCAGCCACGGGCAAGCGACAGCTAGTCGTACACCGGACACAGCGCTACAAGGTCCTCATCTTCTTCGCTCGGCCTCGTGCCGTTGAGGGTACAAAGAGCCATTAGTACTGCAGTTTCCAACTCGAATTGGCAAATGTAGTTACATTTCGTGGTTGCGTAGGTATTTTCATGTACAGAACGAGATTCTTAACATAATGCAATATACCTTCTCGTCCCTTGTCTGGCGTGTCTCGGCGCTTGATGGCAAAGCGGTGAGGTGGCGGCTGATGCCACTACTGTAAGCGAGTCGGCGGCCAAAGGCTGACGTAGCACGAGCGAGCCGAGTTGCGGAGTGCACGGCAGAATTGGCAGGGCCAGATGCTAAACAAGCGTCAGCTTTCTTCAAAGACCTGGTGCTTACCAGCTATGGGACGTAAGAGACCCAGAAGGCAAAAGCAAAGGTCGAATACACGGCGTCTCTTTCTTCTTGCTGAGCGCGCTACAGTGGTAGTCTCTTTGCTGCTGTGCTCGAAGACCATAACATCAGTTCTTCACGGGCACTCTGATTAAGATTATGAAGGTTTATATGCAATTGTGCCACGTACAAGGAAGGGCAAGTTTGTCTCGGGTTTGTAACAACAAGATAATGATGAGCACATAAATATATACCATTGAAATTGTGGCACAGCAAGGCATTCTCATACAATGTACATACACATGTTATGGATACTACAATATAGGTGTCTTACTCCAGCTGTGTTGGATCGCAACCTGATCCTAGACAGACGGGACGATCAGTAGCTGCAGATGCAGCAGATACGAAGGCACAACAAGACATGACCAGTTAGCATGGTGAGCAAAGCAATAAAATATGCACTCGACATTGAATTTTTGGAGCGTGTTTACCGGCGCCTCGTGCACACATTATTTACCCATATTTGTACCTTACTGACCCCAACTCGGCGCTATGACGCTCGCTCTTGAACCACATCCATCACCTGCGTCCGTGCTTCTCATCTGTGGACGTGTGCTGAATGCAGCCTTGTCCCATCTCTTTGGCCCTCCTTTGTGGACATGTGCTGAATGCAGCTTTGTCCAGACTCTCTGGCTCTCCTTCATGGATGTGTGCTAAATGCAGCCTCGCTCCGTTTCTCTGGCCCTCCTTTGCGGATGTGTGCTGAATACAGCCTCATCCAGTATGTCCATGATCACTCGATGTCTAATCCACCGCACTGGACAACAAGCTTCTGCCCAAGAGAGGACAGTTCCCATTGGGGTATGTCGTCATCCAGGTGTGTGGTGCTTCATGCCTTTTTTCTTTTTTTTAACTTTAACTTTTGATTTCTTTCCTTAGTTCACTGCCTCGCTCATCACGCCATCATCTGCCCCATCGCACCTGCCCCAGCAGCAGCAGCAGCAGCCAGCAGCCCATTCCAGCCATCCAGGCCCATGCGGGTGCCCGAGCTTGTTGGCTCCCGCTGCTCATCTCTGCAAGTCCCACCACCTTCACCTCCTAAACCGATCTTCCCACCCGTGATTGAGCTGCCACACCAGCAGAACACACGCTCACCCTCGCTGCGCTTCTCGTACGACGCTGCTGCTGCCGCCGCTGCCTCCAAGGTGGGCCCATTCTTGCACCCACTCTCGCTGCACGTTCACACACCCTGCGAGGAGTGCTTCGCGCTGCTCGCCATGAGCAGGCTCTACCCGTTTCGCCTGCCCTCGCTAGTGCTGACACCAGCATTGCAGCTGTGCAGAGTGAGTCACTGCCGCTCATGCTCATGCTCGCACATCAGCTGCTCACTCAGCTTCCCTGAGGATCAGCCCCTGTCATGGGTGTACCCCCCCTTTGAAGGTCTGCTGCCTGCACGCTCATGCTCAGAAGGTCAGCTCCTGCTGCAGACATGTGGCCTGTCAAGCAGCAACGTGAAACTTGCACCACGTGTGGACTATTTTGCTGCAATGAGACTGGTGAGCAGGCATGGACATGGACATTACCTCAACTGATGATGCTGCGAGGTCTGCTAGACCTGCTATCTGTGTGAGTTCTGTCAGCTTCTTGTCTATTTATTGCCTGCTGACTTCTCACAACTCAACTAGGTCAAGAATGTGTTCCTGACCTCGCACCAGCACCATATGTCAGCGCCTATCAGCTTGATAGATCCTGTGGTGCACAGTAGTGTGTCGTCCTTCTTGCTGCAGCCACCCTGCCATGTGCAGCAGTCATGCGAGTGGGAGCTTGAGCCTGGAGTGGCGTGGCATAACAGTATAATACTTCTTTAGTAGCTATCAGTAGTAAAACCAATTGAAGTTTATTTGTGCAAAACATTAGCATTTGATATGCATGAAAGCAGAGCCTGAGTGATCAAATCCTCATGAACAGCACACTTGCTCTGTCTTATGAGCCATGCATAGATGCTGCAAATTATATAGTATTATATAACTACACAATATACATATATGTTATGCAGACTATATAAACCCTACAATTATGACTAAAATTGGCCAGATCAAAAAATGCCACCAATCTATATATACTCTTACTGGGAGTTTGAAATAGTTTAGTGTATCAGAATGGTTTTCAGATTGTGTATGGGTATATTTAAGATTATGAGAAATTCACCAAAAGTCTGATGTCAAACGAGCAGGGGTGCTTACAAGAGGGCAGACATACTCTTGGAGCTCTCGGTGACTTGGCTGCAAGAACCATTGTCTTGCCAAGGCGCACGAGCCATGTTCCTTTGATTGTAGCAACTTGCTCGATCCCGGTCGTGATAGTGTGTGTACCTTCTTAGGGTTGATTGTTGGAATAAGAGCATATGTCGTCTGTGTAGTCTCTAAAAACAATTCAAGGGATAGTGTCGCTGTCGGTAAAGAAAAAATTGCTTGCAGCAGAGGCTGTAGACAAGGATAAGACAATGAATTAGAGGGCCCTAGAGCATATACAGAACCATCAAAATGGAGCATCACGAAAGGCTTCAGGCCAGGAAATGTGCAGAGATGTTTCTTCGAGCACACATCCTACCGGCGCCCCTACACCATGCTCAGAATCTTGGCGATCCAAAAGAAGAAGCGATGCCTCCGCGTACGGTACATGCCTACAGCGACTTAGGTCGCCGTTTGGAGGATGTTTGCAAAGTCATCGTCTACAAATGAGCCATCCGAGTTATGCAGATTGAGCCTAAACAGCGATGATAGATCGAGACTTAGTGAGAGGACCGTGGGATGCACCCACCAAATGTCCGAGTCCGCGCGTGCATAGCTTCGGGTCGATGAGAATGCACCACGAACGTCCAGGTGCGATGCAGCTGCTCCACTGCAGCTTCTCAGGGCCCTTGCCAATGGAGATCTTGGAAACGGTGCTCTCGATCCGTTCAATGCCCTTCTGTGCCATGCTGTATGCCACTAGACATCTTGTCAATAGCCGGAATTGAGTTGCATCAGATCGAAGAAGTGGACAATGTACATGGTACAGCGGATTGAACTCAACAGAGATGCAGTTGTCCTCGCCACGCCCGACATTTTGATGGGCTGCACTCGCTGTCAGCATGACACAGAAAAAGGGATGGGCAGACGCGTGTCGAAGGAACTCATAGTCCAGATCTGTCTGTCGCGCGGCAGACTCAACAATCCCCTGACGCAGTCTCCAACGACTATCACCATAAAGTGTCTGCAGCTGAATATCAAAAGTTACATCAGCATACACCTGTTGTGCTTGAGGGCTGCCATAAAAATATGTCGGAGCGTGGGCCATTGGCACTTGGAAGCAGAGCCTGCACCTATTGCATGTGCAAGCATGAACCCATGACAATTACTCGGGTAGAGGCAGGACACGACAAACGAGAGGAAGGGGACACACTGGATGATCCACGCAGCGCGGGGGATCTCATTGTTCCACAATGCCCACTTCGCCGCATCCAACGGCGGTGGGGCCCATGCACTCTCTGCGCCCAGCCCATTGATGTTCAGTAGCCTGTTCGCGATATACTAGCAATATACTGCACCCAGTCTGTGAGCCATGCAACAAGCTAAACAGGTCGCAGGAGGCGCACATTTGTGGTTCATATCGAACAAGACTCTCAACGCGCTTGCCAATGGCGGAGCAGATAGGGGTGATAGTCACCTGAGAATATGTCGTCGCACAGTAATGCGCACCTTCAAATTGAATGTTGCCGCCTTGTTCAGTGCTCGCAAGTTACTGCCTTGTCTAGTTTGAGCTGTGGCGTGGCGCCGATAGGTCGAAGAGCAACGTTGTGCTGTTCACCATCGTGTTCAACATCAGCGCAATACAAAGCTAGGTGGGTGGGCGCTACAGTGTAGGACCACTCCTTGGAACAGCACCGCTCCTTGGAACACTCCACTTTCTGCCCTCGCACAGCCTGTAGGGCCTATCATTACCACTTTACTGTATATAATACATCTATATCTATATGTCATTAGAAGCTCAGAGCCATCCGGTGATTGTAGCGTAGGTGGGGGAGAAAAAAGCCTCAAAAATTGTCAAGTGCGCCGGTTTCAGTGATGCTGCAACCGTCATCAGAGTTGCACAGTGGGCCTAAAATTCGCAAACATATTTGTTAATACTCTAATTTATGCTCCATTCATGTTAAAAATGCGCATAGTGCTCAGTTGTTAAGTGTCGAGCTAGAATACATCAGAGATGATTCTACTGAGCTTAGGCGTTACTGAGGCATGACACATTTGACTGCCATGCGATCGCTGCATCCGCCAAGACTGCTGGTACAGGTCACAAATTATCACTTTTGTCACATCAGTCATGGTGTCCCAAGGAGTGGTAGCTGCTGTTCTGGACCACCTCTGTCTTGTGTCCTTTGTCTTGACATCAGATTTCGTCTTTTCGCCTTGCAGCTTTGCACTGAGGTATTTAATATGTTGTAATAGTATAATCCGATTTATTTGATATTTATATGCGAGAGACATACGAAGGGGAAGCGAATATTGATCAGGTGTCCCAAGAAGTGGTCCTATACTCACCACGCCTTTCCCTCATACCACCATCATTTCGCTTAGACGCCCACACACGTCGCCCATTCGCAACAGCATTCCGCCACCCCCTGACCCCCTCGCCCTCTGCTGGACTTCAGAGGCGTTGTATCACCCCTGGCTCACGACCCCGGTGAGCCCTTTCACTATCTTACCCCACTAACCACCATTTTCTAGACATTTCAATGAGGAACCACTTCGTGCTCACTGCTCACTTGAGCGGGGCCAGGTGGACTAGGTTTCTTCCATACCCAATGAGAGCTGGGTCGTCCGGTATGGGAGCAGCCAAAGAGCTTGACTCCTGGACGACCTATATGTCCCTAGGCTTGCTCACGCACTCCGGGGCCAATGCAGCCACCTGCAATATGACCTCACGGCCTATTGCTGTGTGTAATGACATAATTAGCCAAGTGAAATATCATTTTGTTTCATTGACAGATACTGCGCGTGAAGTCTGGGAAGCTGTACCAGCAAATCACATTAATGAAACCTTCACCATGTTGTGCCACATGGTTAGTAATCGATTGTGGATGAAGCTGTGCCGCATAGCCTTTGCTTCCGAATTATCAGAGCAGAGAGCCCTTTGCCTTGGCCCTTTGTAGTACATGCCAAGGCATTGGACTGTAAATAATTTGTTCATTGACTATGACTAGTACACAGTCTGAACACTCATCTCCGGATCTTTTGTATGTGGACATACCTCATGTCCCAAATGATTGGCTGGATTATCCTGAGTCTGTTAGCTCAAATGAATCCTTACCAGCACCTATCAACCTTGAAGCTCTGTGGCAAGAGGCTAATGCTCACTGGCAAAGATCTTCCTTGCCTGATATGCCTTTGGCAGGCCATGTCCTTGGTGCACTAGTGAAGGACGGTGTCATGCACCATAATTATAAGTATAGAAAAACTAAAGAAATAATAGGTATTCAAATCAAAAAGAAACCGCTTACTCAGAGCTGCAAAGTAAGCATAGACACTTAAGCTTACTAAAAGTGAATCAATGACTAATAATATGACTCAGCTTCTTAGTAATCTAGAAACTATGCTTAGTAAAGGTCTATGCTCAACAGCTATGAATTACCAAAATATAGTAATACTCTAACAAACATTAGTAATAGCTTACCAATACATTAGTAAAACAGACAGAAGGCTGACTAATACAGACAAAATGCTTATTAATAAAAGTAGAAGTAGCTTAGTAATTACAGTAGAATAGAAGAGCCAGTTTTGCTATTGGCTAAGGAACAACAGGCTGAAAGGTATAAATAGGAGAGGTTCTCTGAGAACACGAACACACCAACCCACCAAGCACCACACACACTCTCAAGAATTTAGCTAGCAGCAAACCTGCAGTTAATCCCCTGAGCTCTTTAGCTCTCAGAGAATAGACTCCTTTCTTTAAAGCCTAGGAAATTCCTTAAGCACAGTAGAGCCTCTGACTTTCAAATAACCTGAAGGGAAACGCCCTTGGTATAGTGCACGAGTTCACTATTTGACTAACCCTAGACTGTGAGAGCTAGTGGCGTCATTATTTGAGACTGTGGTAC